AGAGCAAACAATCTTCCAGCCATGCCGACGATCTCCGGGAAATCTTCGCCATCATGCAAAAGTTCAACCTTCGGCTAAACCCAAAGAAGTGCACCTTCGGCATCCAAGGGGGCAAATTCTTAGGCTACATGGTGAGCCGAAGGGGTATTGAGCCCCCATGAGCGGAGAAGTCTCTACCCTTCTTCCAGCTCATGAGGAAGTTCATGGTTGACGGGCCGCTTGGCAACCCTCAACCACTTTCTATCTAAATCAGCGGAGAAGTCTCTACCCTTCTTCCAGCTCATGAGGAAGACGACTGGCTTTCTATGGACTCCAGAATGCCAGAGGGCTTTCGACGAGCTCAAACGATATCTATCTTCACCCCCTGTGCTCTCAAAACCAAAGGTAGGGGAGACCCTCTATCTCTACCTTGGGGTCAGCCCGGCAGCCATCAGCTCCGTGCTCATCCGGGAGGAAGACGGCATCCAACATGCCATCTTCTATGTAAGCAAGTCCCTAAGGGAGGTCGAGCTCAGGTACTCTCCTGTGGAAAAAACGGTGTTAGCCATCGTTTGGACCGTCAAATAGTTAGGCCACTACTTTCAGGCTTACGCAGTTTATGTCCTCACTCATCAACCCCTCGACGCCCTCATGAGGAGCCCCACCAGTTCCTCCCGCACGGTGAAGTGGGCTATCTTCCTGAGCCAGTACAACATTGACATCCGTCCGAGGCCGGCCATCAATGGCCAAGCCCTGGCGGACTTTGTGACGGAGTGTACCGCAAGGGCGACCACGGACGGGGAGCCCTCGGCTACCTCGGACGACTGGTGGACCCTCTACACCGACGGCTCCTCCGCAACCAAAGCATGCGGGGGAGGGGTAGTCCTCATTACTCCCGAGGGCTTCAAAGCCTACTATGCAATCCGCTTCTCCTTCAAAGTCTCCAACAACGAGGCCGAGTATGAGGCCCTCCTGTGTGGCCTTCGGCTAGCTGCCAACATGAAGGCTCGGCAGATGCATATCAAATGCGACTCCAAGTTGGTCGTTGGCCAAATCTCCGAGGAGTATGAGGCCAAGGAGGGAAGAATGAAACAGTACAAGGAGGCGGCCAAGGAGTTGCTTAAGGTATTTGAGGCACACTCTCTCACTCAAATACCGAGGGCTCAGAACTCCGAGGCCGACATACTATCTAAGCTCTCGGCCGACTCCCCCGAGCACATCTCCAAGATCGCTAAAATTGAGGAACTCAGTCTCTCAAGTATCCATGCAAGCCCCGTCATGAACATACAACAACGCCAAGAGGACTGGATCTCAGATATCATCATCTTCATCTCCACAGGGCAGCTACCCGAGAATGAGACCCGCGCTAAACTAGCAAAGCTGAGGGCTCCTAGCTACACCATCGAAGACGGAAGGCTCTACAAACGGTCTTACAACGGCACACTACTTCGGTGCCTTCATCAAGATGAAGCCGAGGTCGCAATGGAGGAGGTGCACAGTGGCACTTGCTCAGCTCACCAGGGACCCTTCTCCATGTCCCGAAGGCTCATTCTCCAGGGCTACTTCTGGCCAACCATGGCCAGGGATTGTGCTGACCTTGCCCGAAGGTGCACCGCATGCCAACATTTCCAGAAAGCCCCCGGCAGGCCAGCGGTCAACTATGCCCCCATCAGCACATCCGTCCCCTTTTCTCGATGGGGGATAGACCTTGTGGGCCCTCTGCCGAGGGGTACCTCCAACAACAGGTACATCATTGTGGCCATCGACTATTTTACTAAATGGGTGGAGGCTGAGCCCCTCGCCAGTATCACAGAGGCGAAGTGCCGTCACTTCGTCCTCAAGAACATCCTCACAAGGTTTGGCGTCCCCCAGCAGATTATCTCCGACAACGGAACACAATTTGAGGCAGTCCCCTTCTGTGCCCTTCTGGAGGCATGGGGCATCAAACACACCTTCTCCTCCGTTGCCTACCCTCAAGGCAACGGGCAAGTAGAGAACGCCAACCGGACCTTGCTCGAGGGCCTCAAAAAGAAGCTGGAGGCCGAGGGCGGTGGCTGGGTAGAAGAACTCCACAACATCCTTTGGGCCTACCGCATCACCCCTCGGCGAGCAACAGGCGAAACACCCTTCTCCCTCTGCTACGGGTTTGAAGCCAAAACTCCTACGGAAGTCACCCTTCCCACCCGGAGGGTAATCCAATATGACCCCGAGGTCAACGACAGCAACATGGCCCTCGACCTCCACCTCCTTTCAGAACGCCGGGAGCAAGCCTTCATCCGGGCAGAAAACTACCGAAGGCAAGTCAAAGGCTACATCGACGCCAAGGTTCGCACCCGAGAATTCCAAGTGGGGGACTATGTCCTCCGGAGGAGGGAAGCCAGCCAACCGACCGAGGGAGGCAAAATGGCACCAAAGTTCGAAGGCCCCTACATCATAGCAACCATCATCAAACCTGGGACTTACAAGCTCAAACGCCTCAACGGGAAAGAAGTCCCTAGGCACTGGAATGTACACCACTTAGTTAAATTTTATCAATAATGTAAGAGCGGCCAAGCCCTCATAACTAGTGAATGTACTATCCTATGGCCCAAGGTCTCCAATTTTGAAGAATGAAGACACATTCAAGACACCAAGAACAACCGCAAAACACTTATGAGCGGCCAAGTCCTCATACCAACTACAGGCCCCAGGCCTCACCACGAGAAGAACCCCCTCCGGCACCAAGTGCCAAGGTCGGACACCATCAACACCTTCAATAACAGTGGAAACACCAAGTGTTTCAAACAAGACCCCTCGGTACCAGGTACCGAAGGTGGGGACTCCCATCACCGGCAACAGGAAACACCAAGTGTTTCATTTCAAGACCCTTCAGCACCCAGTGCCGGGGGTACACATCTCACCCATCAACGTCAAATAGAAGAAGAACACTAAGTGTTCCTACAGAAGACCCCTCGGTACCAAGTACCGGAGGGCTACATATCGAAACTAACACCAAGTGTTGTTTCTAAAAGTCGTACCCCACGAGGACACATATACCGAAGGCACCACCATTTGCAACTAGTGTGCAAATGAAAACCCTTCCTTGAAACGCTTTCCGCGTCACTACCCCCAGGGTATGACAGGCATGAAAAATGCCCAGGAATCGACTTTCAAAAACGGAACGCTTTCCGCGTCATCACCCCAAGGGTATGACAGGCACGAGAAATGCCCAGGATTCGACTTCCAAACCGAAACGCTGCCCGCGCTACCACCCCAAGGGTGTGGCAGGCCACGGACTATGTCTAGCGCCGAGGGGACGACTTTCAAAAATGAGGCGCTTTCCGCGCCATCCCCCCAAGGGGAGGCAGGTTACAGACCACCATATCTTGTGTCCAGGAAACGACCCTCGATCCCCTCGGAACTCGGAAGGTTAACCCTAGGGAGGAGAGCCATTGGTGTATTCTGATGGTCTCCTGATAGGCCCAGCCTTACCAAGAAACCAAGTTTCTTGATGCCTTCCCTTCACCACCAACCAAAAAAAAGAGGGGGTGAAGGGGAGTAGACTCATGGAGAAATCAGTGAGTACAACACTCCAACAAATCACAACGTACCGAGGGCTCCCTACGGGAACACCTTCGGTAACTGAAGGCTCCTATTTCCCGAAGGTTACTGCTCAACAATACAAAGGGATGGGACTGTCTCAAGTACACTAAATGGCTAAGTTCACTTCAAATAAGTGTCGAGGGCACCTACCATCGGTCATCCATTGCTACCGAGGGGTCCTATCCTGTAAAAGGGGATGCAACTGACTAAGGCAGCTCAAGAACCCTTCAAATGAATGTTGAGGGCACCTATATCCCACCAGCATTCACTACAACATCAATATCCTACAAATTTTCCTAAGTCCACACTTTTGAAAAAATGACAACAGCCGGAGGCTCACATATCACCCAACGACCGAAGGCATCTATTACAAATCATCAAAGGCCAACCAAGGGGGATTATTCCAAAATAATGTCGCCCTCGGGAACTCTTAAGTGGAAAACACTACTAACCGAAGGCTACACAAGGAAGCAACACTTAGAAGTTTTTCTAAGTCCTGAAGATTGAACCCCCAGCCTGATCAATATTTCAACTAGAGGAACCATGACAGCCGAAGGCTACGTGATGCAACAACACTTATAAAATTTTCTAAGTCCTACATATTTGGCCCTCGGTCAAATATTCACACATCAGGAAGGAGGCTGCCAGCCGATGGCTTCCAATGGGAGACTACACCTAGGAATTTTTCTAAGTCCTAAGGATTGGGTTCTCAACCTAATCATCACACAGCAATTGAACTACAAACACCCGAAGGCCCTATGGTGTGCTACACTTAGAAAAATTTTCTAAGTCCTACATATTTTGGCCCTCGGTCAAATCTACATGCTACCCGAGGGGACATGCGGTTGAAGACTTGTTGAAGCTATACTTAGAAATTTTTTCTAAGTCCTACATACTTTGACCCTCGGTCAGATCTCCATGATGACCGATGGCTCCTGCTACATACGTGTTACACTTAGAAAAATTTCTAAGTCCCAAAAGATCTTACCCTCGGTGACAAGTTTCTAAGTCCCGAATCTCCCTGCAACCCGAGGGGTCACACGATTGAAGGCTTGGTGAGACTACATTTAGAAAAATTTCCTAAGTCCTAACTATTGCTAGGCCCTCGGTCACACATCTAGCAAAGGGTGCCCAACTACCGAAGGCTATGACTGTATTCAAACACTTAGAAGAATTCTCTAAGTCCTAAGCACCTCACCTCCGGCCATCGCACGAAGGCTACACGGGACCAGAAGGGAAGATCAGCCGGGGGCCAACAGATGAACAAACACTTAGAAATATTTCTAAGTCCTGAACATTGTGCCCCCGGTAAAACGTTAAAGTAACTAAAGGTTACTAGTAACCGAGGGCCAACAGATGAACAAACACTTGAAAGAATATTTCCTAAGTCCTAAGCATACATTCAAAGGAACAAAGGCATACATTCAAAACGAAACGAAGGCATACATTCAAGAAAAAACACTCGGAGGAAACGAACTATACAAAAAGCCCGAAGGCAAACATTCATGCATTCAGGGAGGAGTTAAAGTATATATGTTACAATGTGGCCGAGGCCGAGAGTACACGAATATGCATTACAAATAAAAGCAAAGGTTTTCAAAACACTACAAGTACATATCACATATTGTCAACACCGGGGGCAGCCTCTTCCGCATGCTTCGAGATGACCTCCGCATCAACCTCTGCCTCATCGCCCTCGGCCTCTTTCAGGAGTTCTGAATCTTCCAGTTCCGGCCTCTCGACGCCCTCGGGAAGGGGGACTCTGATATCAGGCTGGAGGGGGGGAGACCGTATGCCGCCGGGTCGAAGGCCGTTGGCTCTATCTTCAGGTGTCGGGCGAGCCTCCTGTAGATTAGGGCCTGGGTGAAGAACTCCCCCCGGCGTAGTAATCTTCACCCTTTCAGGCTAGCCACATCGCCCCGGGGCCCTTCACCCACCCCTCGGCAGAACTCTCCATGACCAAGGCCACCCAGTCTTTATGGCCTTCGGCCTTCCAGCCCTCGGTCATGAAGGCAGCAACTGCAGCAGCGGCGGCTTCTGCTTTGGCGGCCTCGGCGTCTTCAAGGGCCTTCTTCGCAGCCTCGGCAGCCGCCTTCTCCATCTCCACCCTCTCTCTGGCCGCTCTCTCTGCTTCCGCCCTCGCCTGCTGGAGGTCCCTCTCCAGTTGAGCCATCTGCCTCACGGCCTCGGCATTATCATGAATAAGCTTCTTGAGGGACTCCTCCTGTTGCGCCCTCTGGAGGCGCCACTCGTCGAACCTCCTGGCGTGTTCGTTGAGGGCTATGCAAGCCTGTTTAGACAAACAACAAAGCAAGGGGTTAAAATTATGATCACACAAACAGATAAAGTCATGGGCCACGATGCTAAGGAAAAAGAAAGAAGAGGAGAGGAAGGAGGAGAACTTACGGTAAGAGAGGACCGGAGGATTTTGGACTCGAGGGCTTCATCATCCAGCTTCCCGAGGGCCCGCCTGTCCAGAGCGGGGGTAGCCCCGCCCAGAAATTCCCGGGGGTCCACTGTGCCATGCGTAATGGCAGACCCCTTCGGCAGGGAGAACTGTATGTCCTCCCGAGGCAAGCTTACCTCGCCACCTTTACCCGAGGGCGGGCAAGGAGCAGTCGGAGCACTGGGCTCGGAGGCGGAATGCTCGTCCACCACCACCACCAGGGGAGCCTTCTTCCCGGCGTCCCCCTTTCTCTGCTTCTTCCCCTCGGGGATTGGGGCCTTACCGGCGGCCTTCCGCTTTGCAGCCTCCCCCGAGGGCTCACCGCCCTTCTTCATCTCCCCGAGGGGCTTCTGCTTTACGGGCTCCTTTTGGCTCGGGACCTTCACCTTCTGCTTTTTGAGGTTGGCGAAGGCATTTAGATCCATATTGACACCTGCAAAAACAATGTGGGGTTAAAATCGAGGGGTCACTAACAGATGGCATAAAGAGAAACAAACAAGCAAATGAACTATGTGCTAAGATATGAAGGTGAGAGTGCCCTCAGCCACTACCTCCGGAGGCTCCCTCGAACACCGGGAACTTCTCATCTGTTCCCCCAGGAAGCGATACCTCCGGAACCCGAGGGTGTAGAGATCTCCCTCTTTGGTGCACTCCTTAATGGTGATATTCTTGTCCCGGCCCTCCGGGATCATGGCCAGAATCCTGCCATCTTTCTCGAGGGCGGCGCTCCTCCTCTTCTCGTGCCTCCTGAAACGGTCACGTAACTCCCTCGGGAAGGGGCTCTCGGTCAGCTTCACGTAGCACCACCGGTCCTTCCACCCCTTGTTCGAGGAGGGCGCCTCAGTGAAGAGCTTGAACATTGCCACCTGCTGCAAGTTCGCGAAGCCCTCGGCATTCGCATGCCCCCCCCCCCCCCCCCCCCAGCACAGATTGAAGCTCTGGAAGAAGAGGTCCAGGCTAGGCGTCACCCCCCGGGACTTGCAGAGCTGGAGGAAGCCAGTAATGTAGGAATGGCTGTTCGGGGTCAGCTGGTAGGGGACCAGACCCACGAACCGGAGGTACTCCCGGAGGAAAGGGTGCAGGGGGAAGCGGAGCCCCATGGACACCGAGAGAACGTGCACCGCAATACAGCCATCGGGAGCCCGGGAGAGGACGTCATCTGGGCCCGGTGTCACCACGATGGCCGAGGGGCCCACGTGAAGCTGAGTGACGTAGATGTCCGCCGCATCAACCTTCGACCTTATTTCCAAGGCGGCGGTGTTCAGGTAGGAGTACCCCTCGGGCATATCGAGGGGCTTCCCTTGATCTGCAACGCTGCCCTTCTTCTTGGGAGCAGCTACCTTGGCCTTCTTCTTTCCGAGGGCCACCCGGATGGGAACCGCGTCCAGCGGCCGAGAGGTGCTGGCCTCACCGGCACCCCGAGGGGGGAGCACAGCAACGGTGACCCTTGCGCTTTCTCTTTGCGCCTCCTCTTCAGCTGCTTGCCAGGCTAGGGCCAGCTCTTCATCCTCACATTCTTGCTCGAAGCCCTCGGCTTCCGCCTCAGCAACGAGGGCTTGCTGCAGCTCCAGGGCGACGGCGGCATCCTGTCCCACCGAAGACTGTGCACTTGAGGACTCCACATCCGAGAGGACTTCATCCTCCATCGAGGGCGCCCCCGAGATGTCTTGAGAATCACTCTGTGAAGACATTGCTATACTACGTCGAGGGTTGGAGACGCTAAGTACTCTAAGCTACCCACCTAATCTAAGGCCACAAAGACAGCTAGCTAAGAGGTGAAGTGTGAATGGAGAACTGACCTTAGAATCTGATCGAGGGCTGCTGTTTCTCTCTCTAGAAAATTTTGCAGAGCTTCGCTATAAGGATTTCGCACAAGGGGAAGGAAGCCCGGCCATGGGTATTTATAGGCGCTGGAATCCGGGCTTGGGCCTGGAAACCGGGCCTCCGGATGGACTGTCATCATTACACGTCGTGTCTTCGCCCAACCGGTGATGCCGCCCACGGACAGCCAACCATCACGCGCCACGTGTACCCCCCCCCCCCCCCCCCAACGGCTATATCCTGACGTTACATATTCCAACGGCTATATTTTCAACGGCTATATTCTGGGAGCCCCCAGATTTTCTTACTTCACTCCACTTCATCAAGAAGAACCTCCGGGTACACTTACCCAGAGACGCCCCTGAATTGTGCCCCACACAGTACATAACAGTCGCCTTCGGGATCACTCCTTCAGAAGCCCAAGGCTTCATATCAGGCCACCCCTCGGGGATTCCCCCTCAGCACTGTGAGGGCCGGGTAGCCCACGGGGAGTATGTCTCGTTGACGGATAGCCTACGGCACACAGGTAATGGGAGCCCTCGGATATCCTCATCACCAACTGATCAGCAAGCAGGGGACACCCCGGTGACAATTCAACTACTGCCCTCATCCATCACGCCCTCGATCCCCAGATTGAGGGGCTCCCCTTCGGCACCTCACATGACATCAACAGCAAGCCTCCGGCTACTCAACACATGAGCCCTCAGAACGAGGAGAGCCTTCGGCATTACCATTATTCTCCATTTTTGACCAAGGTCTCACATTTTCGATTCATCGTTGGGGGAATTCGGTGCACTCTTTTTCCCTCATTAGGATTTTTTCCCCCAGGGTTTTTCCTAATGACGTTTTTAACGAGGCATCCCCCCAAAATGAAACGAAAAGCGTCAGCCTTCGGCCCACAACAGCAGCGCAACTACTCTACTCCTTTTCACCACTTTACAAGTGCCTCAAGGAGTGGGGGACTGGAGGACCCCCTCGGGAAAATCATTAAATTACAAAATGGTGAAAAGTTCCAACAAATGGCAAAGCAATCCCTCAAGTCCCGACATGTGGGTAACTGAGGGACTGCCTTCGGCAGGGACATGAAAGCAACGACTCCTCACCAACTTCAGAGATTACAACGGGACAACATCAAAGGGCAAGCACAAATTACTCCTTTTCCCTCAAGTACCTTTCGGTAAAAGGAGTGAGGGACTCCTGATGGAGTATATGGCCCGGGAACCCCCGGCCCACAGGCTCCTACTACACCAATAAAGGCCCAACCGGCCCAAGAAGCACAGCAGGCCCCAAATTACGGCGCCCCAAGCACTTAGCAGCCCACAGCGCACACTGGGGAGCCTTCGGCCCCCTGGCTGAAGGCTCAAAACTCTCACAGAATGAGTTTTCAAGCAAACTAAGAAACTGGGAGAAAAACGGCAGAAAACAGTAGCCCTCGGCACCTGGAGCCCTCGGCACCCAGGGGGTCCCCGGCACTCAGAGCCCTCGGCCAGTCCTCTGCAGCCGAGGGCACCTCTCCCGACATAATATCCGCGCCACATGCGTACAGATCACCGTACCCTGTACAACGTCCCATCCAACAGCCGCATTAAATGCGGCCACATGCGGCTGCCAGCGCCAACCAGTTGAGGTGACCTCTCGGCCAATGGGCGCTTGACACGTGTCCCTGTCCGGCATTTATTGCTACTATAAATAGCACCCCATTTCCCCATTTATAACCAGGTCATAACACGCTGAAAACGCTCCACACTCATAATATACTTTCTCTCTCTATATTTACTTGCTCTGACTTCTCTCTTATTACTCCCCGTAATAACCCCTCGGATAAGCTACCCCCCGGGTACACTATCCATCAACTACTGTACCAGATGGCGCTACAAACTGAATTAGTTAGATTCACTAATATTCACAATTGATTCTTAAACTAATAACCTTAAGTAGAGAGGTAGAAACATCTCTTAGTTTACATAATCTAAAAATGTGAGTTAGTCAAAATAGACATTAAAATGTAATCTATCAAAACGAGTAAAACATGGATTTAAACTATAGAATCAATACTAACAAACTGAAACCAGGAAGAATAACAGAGAACCAAATGCTTATATAAAATTCAGCCCTACTATTATAACTTATTGTAAGCTTGCATGTGTATGCGTTGGACAAAAGCATTCTATTTCAGTTTAAAATCGAAACAAATCCAAACAAATTATGCTTTTTCCAACAAAGTACCAAACTGAACAAGGCCACTTTAGATGGGCTGTCGGACCAAGACCCTAAACTAATATAAAACACTAATAAATAAAAACCAATTGGAAACCACAACCCGACCAGACATCTCCAACTTTGGTTACATACTAGGGAATCAGGATAGAGTACTTGTTAAAGCCTACACCCTTCTTAGACAAATCTTAAAACAGCAAAAAAAAAAGTGCATACAACCTTGCAAAGCCGTGGAGCTCAATATTTCATTGAAATGCGACATTCCAACATAGAGCACATTTATGATTCGATGAAAAAAGGTATAAAGAGGGTAGGACAAAGTGAAGGCAACATAACAAAAAAGCAATTTCGAACACAACAAATATGTTTCCAACACTGCAAAAAAGATGTTATTACTAACAGATACTTCTAGCACTCTATTTAGTTTTTCTTTAAGTGAGTGAATATTCACAATTGATTCTTAAATTAATAACCGTAAGTAGAGACATATCATACTAATATTCACAATTGATTCTTAGCCAAATAACCGTAAGTAGAGAGAGAAGGGATACAAGTGAAGATGGAGGCTAATTTTTAACCCCCCATGTTAACAAACCTCAATTAATTGTAGACTTTCCTTTTTCACTTGAACACTCTATTGCCATTGTATTTTCCCGATCTAAAATAAACTAGTATCCACCTTCCTCCTTTACTGAACCTAGTAATTAATAAAAAGAACTCTAAAACTATTAAATCAAGTAGCTGGAATCATTCACGACAGAATAAATCAACTAAGCCATGTTGAAATAAAACACAAAAAATGCAAAGATTTAACAGAGCTACATAAATTAAATTAAGACAATAAAGTTTCATATTCAGTCGCATACAATCTGAACAAATTGAAAATATACATTAAAGGAACACCTAACTTTTTAAAGAAAACCTCCAATCCCGAACCAAAGAATGAGCGTACTTACATGAATAAGAGATGAAAACCTGTGAAGTTTGGAAAGAATGAGAGAATTTTCTGGGAAGAAAAAAATATAACATAAGAAATTTGATAAAGGGATTGATAATAAACAGATAGTCTAGATTCAGTAAATACTCTGAATTAACCCAATTGATAGTAATCTTACCTGCATAGTTAGCAATCAAAAACCCCTACCTTTAATCTAGTTCTAACATAAAAGTATGAAACTCAAACATATCACACCTTAGACAATTCTGCAGAATAAAGAGAAGCAAAGCTTGTAGCATCACTTTTTTTGTTTAATTTCAACCTGTTTAGAAGAAATATATAAGCTAGCATTACAATTCGGACTGTTAATATGGCTGGGTTAAGTTTTTTATATTACAAAACTATAATGAAAAGCAGTTATTACAAACACAAATATGAGTTGGCCCAAAAATCAGCAGATATCTGATAATACAAATGTAAGAGTAAATATTAAAGACATTGTACTCCCTAGACCAAAAGTACAATCTCTAAAGAGTAGAAATCAATATAAAAATTTGTTCAACTTTTGGGGTACTACTAATAGAGAGGAAAATGATATTACCAATCAATAGTCTTCTATTTATTCAGAAGAAATCAGAGAGATCAGGGTCTACGATACATTGTGAATGTTCAAATCTAAGAATTATGATGTCCGTGTATAATTCTTGAAACATTCATAGAACTTAGTTAGTTAGTTAGATTATATAAAGAACACCATTGAAGTTTTGCAAAGATCTAACCTTTGAAAGAGCATTATGAAGAAAGCATAAACTTTTATCTTGAAATCTCCCTTAGAATTTTTGTCTCTCCTAAACATTGTTAATAAAAATAATAGAGATTGATGATCGAGCATCATTTTTATATTGAAATCCTAGACAAATAATGATTTTATGTAATGAGTAAAGACTCTAAAAGGAAAACTATTGGTCTATACGTACTAAAGATGGTAGCAATTGTGTGAAAGGAATCATTTCATATGATTGAGCTATAAATTTTCTTGGTTGTTAAAGCACATGATAATTCTATCACTACTTGTGTATGAAGTATCAGCAAATCCTATAGACCCTACAAAATGTGTAAAAGAACTTCACATGGGCGGAGGGATTCAAGAGTAAGAATGAAAATTGAAAAACTCATCGAGTCATTTTCACAAACACTTTTAAGGCATTATAAAACTAAGAGTTCTAGAAACGAACCATTACACTCCATATCCAATTTCCAGCAATCGAATGAACCCCATCCAAAATTTCTACAAAATTCAGACCTTAAGCATACAAAATAAGTAAATCTCAAATAGATAGCATAAAAATGCAAGTTTACCTGGATATGGCGGAAGAGATGGCCTGGTAGTGAGGCATCGGGTTAAGTTTTCTTGTGTGCGGTCTTATAAAGATCGGAGTCTGGTAGATAATTGCGCCTCACATCCCTACCAGGTAAACTCCTCTTGTGATGGATCTTAGTTTTCCGCCGGTAAGCTTCGTCATACGCTTCCGCTGATAAGTCTCGCCATAGATTTCTGCCGGATAAGCTTAGCTCGTTTCTGGCTTAGTTAGCGGCTGCCGCCTGGATATTATTCTCTATTTTTAGAGATAGTAGAGAGAGCACCAACGTTTGGGACATTCATTTGAAAAAGAAGGGAAAAGGGGCAAAATCCTGCATAGAGTTGTCACTAAAATTAAGCCCTCAAACTTAATTTTGGAGCAAAAATCTTCCTATTCCATTAAAAGAGAGCATTTCCCCCTTCTCTAAAGGTGACAAGATGTATATGTTTTTTTACTACTACCATACGTATATATTAACAATCATGTCTTGAGAACTTTTTGTAAATACAATTACACTCGGGTATTGTCTCTAGCTAAATCACATCCAAGACTAAATGTCTTAAATAATTAAACATGTGGCAAATTAACTAACTAAATCAAATGTGGAATTATATAGTTAAAGATGTTTTAAATTGAACTGATTTTTTTGACCTGGTGTAATAATTTGGTCTGATTAATTTTGTCTGGTTTGATCTGATCTTTTACTTAGACTTATTTCAGTCTTAGAAAAGATCAGATCTGACAAAACCTGACTAGACATAAATAGAGCAGACTTCGAAAATTATAAAATGCTCAGAAACCATAAATTTACCGAACAAGATAAGATCAGACCAATTCAGACCAGGCCAAATCAGATTAGACAAAATCATAAAATTTCAATTGAAAAAATCCTTAGTCTGGTCTGCTATGAAATGTCATTATATATTATTTATATATTATAATCCGTATATAATTTATTTGTATTCATTTATTACTAAAATTTAAAAAAAAAAATCTCCCAAATTTTCGTACAATATATCTTCTCGACTTATCATACATTTTTTAATGCGTATATTATTAAGATTAAAAGTATGTGAAAACTATTTAATCTTCTATATCACACAATAATGTTTTCCCCTTCTACTTATAGAAGATATACAGTACAAATCGAGAAAATATACTGTAGTGTACAATATTTCAGAAGGAATTTTATGCGAAAACCGCAGTTTTAGTCACCATTTTGAAATGTCAGCCGCATATTTCTGAGATTGTAAATGTCACCGCTCAATTGTCCAAATTGCTATAAATGTGGTCCTTTAAGAGGTGAAATGTACTCCTCACCCACATTTACATATCACCCCTCAAAGAACCATATTTACAACAATTTTGACAATTGAGGGGTGACATTTATAAACCGGGGAACGTGTGCCTGTGTGATTTTCCCTATTTTTAATAATAAATGAATACAAATAAATTTCATATGGATTATAATATGTAAATAATATATAATGACATTTCATAGCAGACCAAATTAATGATTTTTTTTGAAATTTTATGGACTTATCTAATCTGATTTGGGTTGGTCTGAACTCGTTTGATCTTGTCTTGTCTTATTCGATAGATAATTCGACATTTAGTTAGTTAATTTGCTACATGTTTAATTATTTAAGATATCTGCTCACAAAAATATATATATAAACTTTAATGTGATTTAGGCATTTAGCTAGAGACAATACTAGAGTGTATGTATTTGCATTTAAGAACACATGGCTATTAACTTCTCCGTAGGTCACCGTTAGAGTAGGGGGGAAATGCCCTCTTTGAAGGGAATATGGTGATTTTTGCTCCAAAATTAAGTTTGAGGGCTTAGATCCACTTTAGTGACAACTTTAGGGGGGATTTTGCCCCTTTTCCCGAAAAAGAAACGTGAGACGATCCCGTATGAAGATGATGAAGTCTGTTTCATAATCTTTTTCTTTTTGTATTAAAAAAGCTAGTCTCTTTCTTTTGTAAAATGTTTTAATATTCTTTTGTAACATGTTTTAATACATACGGAGTATGTTACCGTAACTCATAGCTATTGTAACAGTTTCAAAAAGATTGTTACATATGCTTAGTTATATGCAACACTTATTACAAAATGTTACATAATTTTATCATTTTTAGGTTTATGCAATACTTATTTAAAAGTGTTGCAAAATAAAAACTTAAAATATTATATGCAATAACAAAATAAGTGTTACAAAGAAACCGTTACAAAAGGTCTATTTTGTTGTAGTGACTTTATTCTCACTTTCTTAAACTCCGATCCAAGTCAATGCGGGAACTATTTTATGGGACGGAGGGAGTCCATTTTAACTAATGATATGTTTTTAAATGGAATTACTCATTCATTTTCATTTTCATTTACCCCAGTGCCGCAAAGGCTCCCACTTACGGTGGGGTAAGGGGGGAGGTCAGATGTACGCAGTTTTACCCCTGTACTAAAGCATAGAGAGACTATTTCCGGATGACACATAGTGAAAATCTCGTCCAAAATTGCATGAACTGGCAGCTGCTTCATAACAAAGAAGCGCAGACAGTTTAGTGAGCCATTTTGCTTTATTTCATCATAATCTCAAGCCAAAAAATAATGAATCTTTGGCTCCATTGCAAATAATGAAAATTTAAATGGAATTACTATAATATAAAAAATGATATGTATAGATAGCCTCTGTTAAAAAAACTCTTGTAACTTCAACAAATATTACTCCGTATGTAATACTATTGACGATGTACCCAAGTCCAAAACACCTTCTCGTGACACTCCCAAAGAGAAGAGGGTCAGATGGTCGAAAAATTACCAGTTCAATGATATTGTCATGTAACAAAGAATGAATATTATAATAAAATAGTTAGCACAGCCAAAAATAATAATATTGTTGACGAAGAAAATCAACATGACAATTGACAAACTTTTGTAAAATGGAACTTCTTTTACATTTGCAGATAATTGGACTAGGCTGCAAACTAGCCGAGCACGAAATTGGGTGTGCTCAAACTCGAGAAAATGTCATGACTCAAGATCAAACTCGACTAAGCTTAATATTTTGACTCGAGCTTGAGCAGCCTACTTAAAATCTTCCGCTAGTATATTTTCGCCTAAAATACTCTCTCCGTCCCTGAATCAAGTTCACAATTTAACTTCACGGGTTTTAGGTGGAAATATTAATTAATTAAGTTGACTTTTCAATTATGCCCTTAACATATTAAAGGGTTCGAATAGTCTAGGAGTGGTTAATGTAGCAGTCTCAGATAGGGCAGAGCACGGGTCGGGTTCGAGCAGGTCAGGTTCAAAAATGTTAAACCTGATCGGGTATCAGATTGATAATTTCAAATCCTACCCTATCAAAAAATTTATCGGATTTTTCAGGTTGAAGAAATCCGGGTTGCGGTTGGGTTGATACGGTTTTCAGGTTCATTCGGATTTTAATTTATTATTGTTGAAATTGTGATAAATAAAATGGTAATTTGTAAAAATATCATTCAAAGTTATACTAGTATACATTCAAAGTGATAGTTGTATAAATACGGTAATCGACATATTTGAACATGTAAAATAATAATATACGGTGATCGACATATTTGATATTGTGATAAATAAAATTATAATTGGCTAAAATATAATCCAAAGTCATAACAATACAACATTCAAAGTTATAATGGTACAAATACGATAATTGGATATTTCAACATGCATAATATGATAATTGGCATACAATAATTGAGATATTTGAACATGCATAATAATTCAATGTAGTATACATACTATGCTAGTTTGGTTTTTCGGGCGGATCGGATAGCATAATTGGTTATCCTACCCGCTACCCGCTTAAGTCGTGGGTTGCAAGAATGGGATCAGGTTTGGGTATTTCGGGTCGATCTTACGACCCCAGCAAAAGAATCGGAAATATCTGATCCGGTCAATCGGGTAGGGTCGGGTTTGCGCTCCCCTAGCCTCAGATCCCCATTCGAACTCAAAGAACAGCAACATGAGTTCGAAGACGAAGAGACATGAGTTATTGAGTTATATGGGAGTTGCATTTCAGAAATATAAATTCGAGGATAGCAATCGCCATAAATTCATAGACGAAGCTGAACCAAGAACATCAAATAGACATAAGTTCGAAGATGAAGAGACATCGCGGCCATCTACGAGCCCACTGTCGCCGCTGCCATCCATCAAATCGCCATCGTCGGAATCTGGTTCCCCTTGGTGCCGTTTCAGTTCCCGTAGTTTGAATCTGGTCAAGCAAAGAACTCCTTGAAGTTGAGCTTTAGCAGCCTTGTGGTCATCTAAGGTTGGATCTTGATTGCAGCGAAGAAGTACCAACGAAGAAGAAGGAAGAAGGGTACCAGGAGATTGGGAGTCTTTTTTTTAGGTAGATTTGGGAGTCTAGAAAGTTGAGAGGAGAAGGGTTAGACCGTAGGGGGATAGAAGCCAGAGAGGGAGAGGGAACGTCTGGGTCGGGGTTCGGGGGTATTCTAGAGGGGTAAATTGGTAGATTCGCGTTAAAAACTTTCTAAAAATAGAAATAAAATAAAGTATGAACTTAATTTTGACATCCCGAAAAACAAAGTGGGAACTTAATTTGGGGACGGATGGAGTATATTTTAACCTAAAATTTATTTTAGCTTAGTCGAGTTTGATCTTGAGGCATTACATTTTCTCGAGTTTGAGCACACCCAATTTTGTGCTCGGCTCGTTTGCAGCCTAGTCCAATTATCCGCCACTCCTATATTTTTAGATATAATAAAAATATTCTAAAAGTTTGAATGAACATTATTTAAAATTACAATTTAACTAATTTTTGGAATTTTGTTTTATACCTAAAACAGATTTTCGTGAATGATTTTTAAGAGACTAATGTACCTATTTTAAATTTGTATGAGAAAGACACTTAATTTCATGATTCATATTAAGGGTGGACGAGGTCCGAGTCTCAGAAACGGCCTGTTTTTTAATTAGATCAAGACCGATAAGGTTCTAGGCCAAGATCGAGACTAGACTAGTGGGGTAGATCAGAGGTCCTGAGTCTCACTTTTCGGGACCAGGACTATCCGGTCCAGTCCTGGTTTCAACCCCATCCATTACTTTTTTTGCATTAAAACCATTTGAAAACATTTTAAAATGGGCTAGTATCTATTTAAAAATTGAAAAACAAGTGGGAAAAAGGATAGAGGATTTAAAGTATGAAAACCGAGACCAAACTTGGACCAGTTATGAGACTCGAACCAAAAATATAGGTCCCAGGCCTCCCTAAATTAGGTATGGAAACAGTCTGAAATTAGGAGTTTTTTCAAAAAATAATGTTAATTAAAAATATATTTACCAAAATAAGCTTAAGTTAAAACTATTTCCCAAAATATTGTCCCCTAAACCCCACTTTAAAGAACCGTCACTTGAAGTGATGGCTTACACGAAAACACACGTAGAAGCATACCAAAACAGGTAACACACGTAGAAACATCATATAGGGCCCACATAAATAAAAACCCTTTTTTATTTAAAAGTGAAATAACTTTTTAATTTGTACTCTGATCATTACAAAAAAATACATAAAAATTCATAACTTTTTATTACACCAATATTGAATATATAAAAATTAAAAAAAAAAATAACACTTTAAAAACTATCTTTTTTTCTAAATTTTACATATTTTTTATGTGCGATTGTAACAAAAAAATATATCAAAATTCATAGCTATTTACTCCCTCCGTCCCTTAAAACTTTGTCATCTTTCCTTTTTGGGACATCCCAAAAAACTTGTCACTTTCCTTTTTAATCAATTATTTTGTGGTTTCTGTTACTTCTCTCTCCTCTGCACAAATCTCAACCATACAGTTTTTACTTTATTATTCTCCGTGTCGGTTAACTTTGGCAAAGTTTTAAAGGACGGAGGTAGTATTATCTTTCATATGACAACAATTTTGAATACTCCCTCCGTCCCTATATAAAAGTATCCATTCATTTTACACACATCTTAAGAAAGTGAGTTTGGTTGGTACTGTTTGGCACTGTTTGGACACTGTTTGGCACTGTTTTGCACTGTTTTGCACTATTTTGTTTGCCAAAAAAGGAAAGGGAACTTTTATTTAGGGACGGCACGAAAAGGAAACAGATGCTTTTATTTAGGGACGGAGGGATTATATAAAATTAAAAAACTATTTCTATTAATTTGTGCGGTTTATGATCATTTTACCGTGCACACAATTAATCAGCAATAATAGATTAGAATAAAACTGCACAAGAAATAAAACAATAAATAAAATGGATGGAGTTGTGCAGTTTTATTATAAGTTATCACTCCAAATAAATGTGTGCATTGTAAAAACGATTCTAAACTGCACAAATTAATAGAATTAATTTTTAATTTTGTATATTCAAAATTATTGTTTTATGAAAGATACGAAAGAGTTATGAATTTTAGTATATTTTTTGTAACAATCAGAGTACAAATAAAAAAGATAAAACATTTACAGTAAATATATTTTTTAAAGTGTTAATTTTTTTTATATATATTCAATATTGGTGTCATATGAAAGATAATAAAAAGTTATGAATTTTGATATATTTTGTGTAATGATCAGAAATCAGAATACAAATAAAAAGTTATATCACTTTTTAAAAAATGGGATTTTTACTTGTGGGCCCAATATTTGGCCTGCATCTAATTCTCTCTGAGACGATTACGCGTTACGTCTTTTACCCAAGTTGTCACTTCAAGTGGCAGCTCTCTTAACTGGAGTTTAGGTAAGCAGTATTTTGGAAAATATTTTTAACCTAACTTTATATTTTGTAAATATTTTTTTAATTAATATTATTTTTGTACTGTACTATGGTAGCTTTTTGTAAATATTTTTTAAATTAAGAAATGAGTTCCTAATTAAAATTTGAATTTGAAATTTTGTATATGGAACCGTATTCCTCACAGATGGCCCGGCTCTCCGCTGTTAAGTACAATGAACACAGTAGGAAGCCTTTGTGTACATGGGATGATGGAAGCTTATATGGTACAACCGGCTGTACGGTGCCGGTCGTACAGCCGGTGGCAAACTTGTAATTTTGGTAAAAATCATGATTTCTCTTAAATGAGCATTGATGCATTTTTCATGAGCATCGAGTCTGTTCTTTTGAGTATTGGGAGCCTAATAATGAGCACCGATGATCTCTGCTTCATATATTCTAATTCAGTTTCTTTTTTTTTTATTTTTTCGTTTATAAAAAAATATTAAATGATGTTTATAATCAATTTCAATATATGAATTTAATTAGTATGATATGTTTGATATGTGCAACATTTTAAAATGAGCATAAAGCAGTACCAAATGAGCATACATAATTTACAAAATGAGTATCAAAAAATTCAAAAGGTCATTTGTGTATGCTCATTGATTTCAGGCGTTATACTCATTTTAGTTTAAAATAAAACTCATTTTTAATGTGTTTAATATTCAGTTGTGTATATTCATTTCTTTTATGCGTATACTCATTTGAATTTAAAATAAAACTCATTTTTAACGTGCTTAGTATTCAGTTGTGTATGTTCATTTCTTTTATGTGTATACTCATTTGAGTTTGATATAAAACTCATTATTTGAGATCAATAGCAATAAGGATTCCTTTGTCTGCAGTTGGCTCTCTTTGTCTTCCAAAATCGCAATCTCAAACAGCAAAACTGAATAAGAAAAAGAGAAAAACGAAAAATAGTGAAAAGAAAGATAGAGGGAGGAGAAGTAATTGCGCAGACGGATCTGTTGCTTCCGTTCTAGAGAAGAGGGGGATGAGCCATGAGCGGCGGCGACGAGCAAAAGAAATCGGTGGTGCGTTGACAACAGTCAGCCAGTGGCGAAGCCAGATCGAAGAACCAAGCTAGATCGGAGAAACTGGTGCGAAGGTTGATGCGAAGTCGGATCTTCTTCTGGTGCGGAACGAAGAAGCGCAAAGCCCAAAACAAGACCGGTTGTACCGTGCGCACGGTACAGCCGGCCGTACCGTGTATTTTATCTGCGATGATATGCACACTACAAAAAAATAGTCGTTTTGTCACGGATTTTTGTCACGGATATGTCTGATTTGTCACCAAGAACTTTTGTCACGGATTTCTCTGTGACAAAATCCGTGACAAATGTTTGTCACGGATTGTGTCTGTGACAAAAAGGTTCCGTCGACCGAAAATTTGCTCCGGCATAATTTTTTTAATTCCGGACATTTTGTCACGGACTGATCCGTGACAAAATTCACGTCTGTTTTGTCACGAATATAGGCCGTGACAAAATCCATGACAAAAATGTTTTGTCACGGATTTTTTGAACTACAGACCGTGACAAAATCCGTGACAGCTCCCCTGATTTTTTGTAGTGGCAAACATGACAGGAAACTGTTCACTGTTTCCATGCATTAGTGTAGCAGAGCATTAGGGGTTTCTAATGAAGATGAGCAAACAACCCGCACAGGTAGCTCAGTTAGTTTAGTCATGGGAAAATTGAAAGAATGATAAAGAATCGAACCCCACGGCGGCCATGTGGAGGTTACTACTCCTGAGTGCTGGATTGGACCTCTGGTGCGTGTATAAGGTCTACCACCATTGAGCTGATTGAGTTATCATTACTTACAACAACCCAAATGCATTCTCGGGTCGGGCTGTGAGGGCCTTTAGGGTTGGGGATTCAACCTTTTGGAAGAATGAAGATAAGCAAACAATTCAACAACCTATTTGGTAACGCCAAGAACGGCTGAAAGTGATATAATTTCGTTGAAGTTGATATGAAGTCTGGAAATTGTCCTCTTGATATTATGAATAACTGAACAAGGAACGGTTTGGGGATTTAGAAACTCCAACACCTTTATTTCTTGCATTGATTGTGAGGCAAGGCTCACGATAGTGTGGCCTCGTTTAGCAATGATGGTCTCAATATAGTCTCATCGGGTAATTATATGTATTTTACTACCGCATCTTATCTAAATCTAATATGATTTGATCGGTGTAAATATGACCTAATCTTGTTGCCTGACTAATTATGTAACATGTTTACATAAACCAAAACTTTTTGTTAATGTATTCGTTTATTAACGGGAATACTTTCTATTTTCCCAGAAAACTAGAAAATTGGAGGAAGGGAAAATGGAGACATATATATTATTTTCTATTTAAGTTGGAAAAGAAGAATATGAAGGGAAAACACAGTGCTACATATCCTACAATGCGTCGAGTATTTGTTTCACACTCGGTTATCTTATCTAGGTATTTTATTTTAAACCACATACTTTTTCGAGATCTATGCAACGATGTATGTTGAATAATCTATTTTACTTCGCATTTGTTAAGTTACGAAAACAATTTTCACATTTTAACACTTTTTAAGCTATAACGGCAACAAAAAACATACTCGTTTGTTAAGCTTTGTTCATGAAAAGTACTTATTCACATATTAACTTAACAAACTTTAAAAGCATGTATTCGTTTGTTAAGCTTTGTTCATGAAAGTGAAAAGATGCAATTTGATATGTTTTGAGAATAACAAATGCATGAAGTTCGAGAAACTATTACGAATGCAATTTGACAGATTATGATGTTTGAGATGTCAAAATACTACTAGTGTTATGTACGTAGTATTTATTTTTCAAGACAAAGTAGTCATCTGTTAAAAATGTCATTTATAAAACTTTGTTTGTGGATTACTATTTATGTAACCTCTTTGTGTTATTTCAAATGATTCTAAATATGACAACTTTATTTCCGCATTATGCACACATTAATTCTTCAACAGTGTCAGGTGATATTGTCATTTTTTTTTGCCTTAGATTCTATCAGTTTTCAATTCCTCGGTGTATATATTTACTTTATGGTATCAAAAAATGAAATGACAAACAAACAAATTAATGTATGTCCAAATTTGGAACATGGAAAAAACCGGAAACAGAAAACAAAGACATAAAACTAGAGAAATAAGTAAACGGGCCCTTAGGGTCCGACAGGATGGAAAGAATTTAGACGGCTAAGTCCATATCATGATAAATAGTTAGTTTCTGAAAACATATAAAAGATGATCCAAATGTTATATGATCAAATATTATGTTAATCGTCCATTTCTATAAAATATCAAATGCATATTAAGATATAGACTAAAAAAATCAAAGCGTTCCTCTCTAAACCCCTCCAAAACCATCCATCCAAACCTTAGTTTTGGGCAAAGCTGATTATTTACATGTTCCAAGGCATCAATATCTGAACCATGAACCATCCCTGTGTTTGGCATATATCATAAAGAAGATAATAAGTGGACCAGTCCTGCAATTCATATTGAAGTAAAAGTTAGTAATTACAAAGATAGCTACTAGCTTCAAAAATGTTCTGAACTCTGATGTAGTGCCTTGGGGATTTTCAGACCAGAAACAAAAAAGCAGAGTTTATTATTTACCATTAAAGTTGGGATAGCAACACAGCCAGCTCTTCATCAGACACCATAACATCAATGCATGCTCCTAGCGAATTTGCAAGTCTTGCAGCAATCTGATGCTTACACTGCAGTCTATTAACGGTTCAGATAACAAATTGAGAAGGGGGCAGCTGGACCAAAGTCACTAGTTCAATGAATTCTCACACAGAGTTGTTCCGCTCTGTTCACGACGTCGTAAAAGAAAGAATAGCAAGCACAATAATGCTCCGGGAAGCACAAATACTCATCCTTCTTCCTTGACTCTCCAACGACCTGAGAAAAAACACGAACAAAAATGTTAAGGACCATGGGTTGTGGACAAATAATTCAAAATGCGCTTCAAACACTTAAATCATGGACATGCAAAACAGACAATCAAACCCCATCCTAGAACATGACTCCGATTACAACGGGTCTCATACTCGAAAGTTAACAAGATATACATGTTGGTCCTAAATCAGACGCTCGTGGACTTTTTTGGAGGCAGTGCAGAATATATGAGAGTAGCCATTGATATGTAAAATTAAGTACAGTATTTTGAGGATATAGTGACAGCATTTCAGCATATAAAAATGGCATAGAGTACTAGAGTTACGTATGACTAGTAATATGTTCACTACTTAATTACTCCATCTATCTCATTATGAGGTTCTCACTTCCTTTCTCTTTTCTACATCTCATATAAAGGTTCTCATTTGTATTTTCAAAAACAATTAACACTCTTAAATGATAATTTAGTCATCAAATACTAAAAATAATACATCTATAATAACATCACAGTTGTCATCAATTACCTCGTTATATTATATACTCCCTCCGGTCCCAAAACAAATTCATGGTTTGACATCACGGTTTTTAAGAAAGTCGAATTTTTTGTTTTGACTTTCTCATTATACCCCAAAATGTAGATAAAGTGTAGTGGGAGAGAGAAAGTGCGTGTAAAGTAGATAATAAAGTAAGGATATAAGGGTAACTTTATATTAAAAAGTTGTCAAAAGTGTAAGTGTGAAGTTTATTTTGTACATACACAAAAAGGAAAGTGTGAATTTGTTTTGGGACCGGAGGAGTATTCATCAAAACTATTACTCAAAATATAGTATCCGCTCAGAGAAATGCTTCAACAGCACAAACAGTGAACTTGAAGACTGTAATTGGATTTGATTACCTGAAAAATGGAACGCCCGCTGGGTTGACCGCAGATTCGTTTGACTCCTCTCTGATCCACTACCCTCGCTGCACGCTCGAAATTTTTCCCAAAAAGAAAATGCAATCTAAACAATGCGGAAGCACATATGAATACAAGAAATCCCCCAAATTTCAAACTCAGAAGAAGAAGAAGAATGTACCGACGTGGAGAGATGGTCATCAATCACTGCTCCCAGTGCTCCGGTCCAAATTCAGCGCCATCAACGCAGCGGCGGCAGAGAACGCCATAGATTGGGACCACAATAGAGACGTAAGTAAAATTCAAAGTCGGGAAAAAAACAAAATTGAAACTTGAAAAATGAAGGAGGTAAGACCGGAAGACGAGCTGGTTTAGTTTGATAATTGAGCGGTGACAACCTGACCGAGTTGACTCAATGTCATTCCAGATGGAATCTGCGACCATAAGGCTCGTGCTCATTTTCCGAAACCCTGCGACTGTTGACTAGAACCGGTGGCTATGTGACGAGGTCCTCAAAATATCACATTTAATGAAACCTGCAAATCGTAATAAAAAAAGAATTGGAAGACACCATTCTCATATACTCCTTATTGTCTTCTATGGAGAAAGAGTTGTCTATCTATGTAAATTTATGTTAGATATGAAGGGTGTACACACAATTGTATAAATCAAATATTTTTGCTTTATTAATTTAAGTCATCATTTCCTTTTTCCAACCATTTATCAACTAATAAAAATCATCACATATCTTTTAACATATTCCATCTAGATTAAAGAGATGTCGTCCTATGATAAGATTATGAGATCGTCGTTCCAAAAAAATTAGCGTGAATCCATAATCACCAAATGAGCAACATAAAGCTTTTTCTGACCATTAAGGTCGTTGGTACACATCATCACTTCCCCAAACTCATAATTATCAAATGCCCCCCATCAGTCTCTCATCACACATAAAAAAGTTCATTCGAAAATGAGATAAATTATTCATTGAATATATGGGAACTTCGAAACAAATGCCTCTGATCATAACTAAAGATCGACTACTCCCACTTGCACAAACAATTCAAGAATAAGGTAAATTCTCAAACCAAGAAATAATAAAACTTAAATAATACTCCCTCCGTCCCTAAAAGGATTGCCAAGTTTGACCGGCACGTAGAATAATAAAGTAAAAACTGTGTGATAGAGATTTGTGCATAGGAGAGAGAAATAACAGGAACCACAAATTGATTGACTAAAAGGGAAAGTGGCGAAATTTTTGGGACAACCAAAAAAGAAAAGTTGGCAAAGTTATAAGGAACGGAGAGGATAATAAAACTGCAAGTGGCCAAAGCTAAACTTGAAACGTCTTCTTCCAAACACTAAACCGAACAGGAGAGTAACAAACCATCAACACTTCATCAACCTCTTCTTCTTCATCAATCTTCTGGAACGTTCCAGTTCCGTTCTGAAATTGTCCATTTATATTTGGAACAAATTATTTTTGTCCATACTGATCGTAGAACGTTTTAAAATAAAATGGGATCGAAATAAGTAACATATGTCATGTTATGTCCCGTTGTCTCGAATTCAAAAATTTTGTTGTAGTAGGTTACTCAATATATAATCAATTCAATAAATAGTCCAAATATAATAATAATAACATTCATCTTATTCCACAATCTAAATGTCAATGAGTATTAGGTATTAGTTGTCTAACATGCAGAACAATTAAAGAACTCTAAACTACCAAGTGTGAACTATCTTCAATCTACTTAAAAGAAACTCACTTTTACTCGCAAAGGTTCTCATAATAATGTTTTAGCCTATTTTTTTAAGATTCTTTGGTAGTATTGTGTGTGATGTTTTTTTTTTTTGCTACAATTTTATTTTCTTGTGGGTATCCTGTTAAGCTACAATTTTTTGTTGTGTTAGCTTTTTGGTTGAGTCGTTGATGTGTTGTAGTTTTCTTACATGAAGTTTTTTTGGTGTAGCAATTTTTTGATTTGTCCTGGACCACCTCGTTTTGTCCTGACACCATTTTCAATTTTAAAAGGGACAACATTCCGAAAGCGTCATTCTAAATCAAATTCAATACCAAGTATGATAGACTAATATTTAACTTCAATTCCTGTCTCGAACTATGCTCATCCCTAAGTACAACTATAATGAGGTCTGAAGATTCACTAAATAATGATGTTAAAATTGACATATGACATGAAATTAAGATTGCGCAGTCAGATTACTTAACCAGTACCGATAGAGTGATAGACTAATATTTAACTTCACTCAATATTTGACGCACAGAAATGCTATCATACCAACGAGGGTCGAGGATGTATTTGCGTATATTTGTACTTCTAAGGATATATTTAATTTAGTATGCACTAATAAAGCGAGTCATATTTCGAAGAATGAGTCATAGAAGCAACTCAGTTAAAAGGTAGAGCTACTTGTGGTACTTGTGTCAGTTGTGTGTATATCATCAAAACAGTCGCAGAAATCTTACTTCTTTCGAAGTTCTCCGTATATGAATATATGATATATGTGAGGAAAAGAACAAATTAATGTGTAAACTGTGAGATCCAAAATAACACATGAAACCCTGCTTCGTTCTCAAGAACTCTACTTATCTACAACCTTGAAGCCATCTTTCCAGGAAAAGGTAGCTCTTTCAACCCAAAAAGCCTACTCGAACTTGTAAATATGGCCAAGTATACCCTAAACCTTAATTACATTCTTCCTTGTTCAAGAAACTCCAGGACTTTTGCTCTTTTATGTAACATTGTCTGTATTAGATGAGAAGATATCCATGGGAGCACTAACATAGCCAACAGTCCCTTTACGATGGGAAGATTTCTTGTTGTTATTATCCAGATATATCACTACCACTGTAATATCATCATGGAAATGACGCCTAATCCCCCTCTCAATCTTCTGGATGTCTTGGTATTTCATCTCCCTCTTCTTAGCAGCCTCCTCTATAGCTGCTGCCACCAACTTCTTGGCTATTCCCTGTTCAAGTATATTACGTATTATTTAACCGCTCCATTGTCTCTGATTCACTTGCAGTATTTTGTGCATTAAGGTATCTTTGGATCTCGGAAAACAATAGGGAAATAATTAAACAAAACTGCCAACTAATATTTTTTCCTTACATTTGGTTTTATCTTGAAATATGATTAGTTGTTTAACATCTTTTATACTCTGTATATATTAAGATTAATAATTGAAATAAATAAATCAACCACTTTGAAAGTTTCAAGAAACATTTAGATTTTTGGGTTTGAGCCTAATCTTATATTTTCAAAGAGATTTGCATTCCTTCTAATTTTCTTACCCTAGTAATTCCAGGTTCCAAACGGACCCTAAAATAGATAATGTCAATGCAGTTATTGATGGAAACTTACAGGTCTTGGGTTTTTGTGCACCATTTCCACTACGGCTTCATCACTCAAGTGTTCCCAGAGGCCATCGGAAGCAAATATCAAAAACAAATCATGTGGTCGGATTTTTCTAGTAATGATTGAAGGTTCTGCTGTTAGTACAGGATGCTTCAGGTGTACTGGATTCCTGAATTGCTGGAACATTGGGTGTCTGTTAAACTCGGGTTTCTTGAGATAGGCATCACCAATGGATCTTGACACCTTTAAAGTTTAAAGTAAAAATATTAGTAGAATGTTTTACAAAAGAAAAACTAAGAGGAAAAAGAGACCTGCTCACATTTGCTTAGTTGTGTTGTCTTCTAGAAGGCGCTAGGCAGTCCCTCCGGCAATAATTTGGTGCCAGGGGTCAGGGGCGAAGCCAGAGCACTGGGCCGGATTGGGCCGGTACAAATAATATTTTTGAAAAAAGTTTTACACAGAATTTTTTACATTAAAAATAGACATTTTTTAAATTTAGGCTAGGTCAAGGCCAGGGTTGGCCCTCCCCTAGCTACGCCCCTGCCAGGGGTAAAACCAGTCATAGGCTTGCAGGATGTTACAAACCAATATTATGGTCGTACATATGAACGCAGAAAGCAGTGTGGGGCACAGAAGATTAATGACCAACGTGGCTAAGAGAAAAGAAATAAGAAGGCAGTTAGTCATATTAGTATTAGTATTTAATTAGTCCTACTTTAATTAGTATTCCTTTATTTAAGTTGTATTAGAATAGCAACTTAGTTTCCTATTTGTTTTAAGAAACCCTTTTGCAACTTAGTTTCCTATTTGTTTCAGGAAACCCTTTATCTATTTAAGGGGATCCCAACTACTTTAATAAACAGCTTTCTGGTTAATTAATCTTGAGATCTCTTGACTAGGTCGGAGATCGATAATTATCTATTAAGCCTCTGTTTTCAGTTCATCTATTCCTCGTCAATTAAAAATAGCTTCCGAAACATCATCCCTTACCTGTGGTCAATCCTGTTCACGTCCTTGGACGAGGTCTCTAACTCACACACTTAACAACTTGGTATCATATTTTGGGACGATGGGGACCGAGACTCCTACTGCGGATTCACTAAAAACCATGATTGAGAGTATCGATCACCGGCAACTGGCGGTGGAACAAACCTTGGCAGATCTGCAGACCACTATGGCGCAACTGGCCACCCTTCCGGCCGCCATGGAGACACTCGCTTCAACGGTGCAGAAATTAACAGGCGATTCTTCATCCAACTCCTCCCCGTTCGACCGCAGGAGAGAGGCAGATCATTTGCGCCGTGATACTGAAGATTCTTTAGTTCCCAGGTTCTCGAAAATTGAATTCCCACAGTACGATGGGAAAAGCGATCCCCTCTCCTGGTTAAAACGCTGTGAGAGCTTTTTTATTCAGCAACGCACACCTGCTCCAACTAGGGTGGGTTTGGCAACTTTCCACATGATCGGGACCGCACAACTATGGGCTAATCAGTTGGATACTGGAACTTCCGTTATCTCTTGGACTGAATTCTACAGTCATTGTACTAAACGTTTTGGGCCACCGAGTAGCACAAACCCGGAAGGCGATCTAGCCAAACTACGCAAGACCGGCGATCTCGAGAATTATATTGAAACATTCCAATAGATGTTGGCTCGAACTGTGGGAATTTCTGCCCGTATGCAGGTAAAAATATTCACCGCCGGGCTGCGCGAGGTTGTACGCATGGAGGTTGAATACCAGGATCCTCTTGACTTGGATTCTGCTATGATGTTGTCCAGGGCTGTTGAGCGCAAGTACAGTATAGGCCATTCTTCGCCTGCACTTCCAATACGTCCTCGATCAGTTGCCCTTTCAGAATCAGTACTTGCTCCCGCAGAATCAAATTTACCACGGGCGCACCTCCAATCCACACTTCAAAAAGATTTCTCGAGCAGAAGCCGATGTTCGACGGGAAAAGGGTCTTTGTTATAACTGTGACGATCCTTGGGTTCGTGGCCATCAATGCAAAAAAATATTTTTTATTGACATTATAGAAGATGACCAGTCCGAAGAGCAGTTTGAACCAGCCCTCTCTTCATGCTATGACTGGAATCGGCTCCACTTCTACAATGCAATTAGCCACCACCCTTAATAATATGCCCATCACTATTCTGGTGGACTCAGGCAGTACCCATAATTTTCTCCATCAAAGACTAGTTCCTGCCGATAACCCTTCCCTGCACCAGAAATCTTATTTTCATGTTCTAGTAGCTAATGGAGATTGGGTACCTATTTTGGGCACTTGTCCTCGATTTGACTTCTTAGTGGACGGACGCACATTTACAGCCGAATTTTATGTGCTTCCACTGGCCGGGTTTGACATGATATTGGGCATTCAGTGGCTTCGCAATCTTGGCACCATTGAATGGGATTTTTCACACCTTTTCATGCGATTCAGATGACAGAACACTTCTGTGGAATGGCATGGCCATGCTGGCGCACCTCCACTTCAGGCCCACATGATTACCACATCATCTCCCAAGTTAGAAAGCCTCCTGGCCCAATTTGAAGACATCTTCGGCTTGCCATCTGGCCTGCCGCCTACACGAGCTTGTGATCACAAAATCACATTATTTCCAGGAACTAGTCCGGTGGTCGTTCGACCATATCGTTACCCCTATTTCCAGAAAGACGAGATTGAGCGGCAATGTTCTGAGATGCTCCAGCAAGGTATCATCCGCCTAAGAAGATCTCCCTTTTCATCACCTGTCCTTCTAGTTAAAAAAGCTGAGGGCACATGGAGGTTTTGTGTTGACTATAGAGAACTCAATGCCCGCACCGTTAAGGACAAATTTCCGATTCCTATCATCGATGAGTTATTGGACGAACTTCATGGGTCCAAGTTTTTTACAAAACTTGACTTCCGCTCAGGATATCATCAGATCCGCATGGCAGAAGAAGATATCGAAAAGACAGCTTTTCGAACTCATCACGGCCACTTTGAATTCTTAGTCATGCCATTTGGGCTCACCAATGCACCATCCACGTTTCAAAGCTTAATGAATGACATCTTTGCACCATACCTTCGTAAGTTTGTCCTCGTCTTCTTCGATGACATACTCATTTATAACAAATCATGGGTAGAACATGTTTATCATGCCCACCTTGTTCTGGAAACCTTGCGCACCCATGGCCTTGTTTTAAAAAAATCCAAATGCAAATTTGGCGCACCGCAGGTACAATATCTCGGCCATATTATTCATAGCCAAGGCGTTGAGGCTGATCTAGCCAAAATTCAAGCCATCACGGAGTGGCCAACACCCCGATCAGTTAAAGCTACGCGGTTTTTTGGGTCTGGCAGGTTATTACCGCAAATTTATTCACCATTATGGTGAGATTGCTGGTCCACTCACACAATTGCTAAAGAAGAGTGCCCTTTCCTGGACAGATGCAGCCGAAGAAGCATTCCACGAGCTCAAACTGCGCCTTTCATCAGCCCCAGATCTCCAATTACCTAATTTCGACAAAGAATTTATTGTTGAATGTGATGCATCAGGATCTGGTTTTGGGGCAGTATTACAACAGGAAGGCCATCCCATCGCATATTTTAGTTGCAAGATTGTTGCACGTCATGTTAAGCTCACAGCTTATGAACGGGAACTGATAGGGTTAGCCAAAGCAGTCACACATTGGCGACCCTATTTATGGGGATCTGAATTTCTTATTCGAACCGATCATTCCAGCTTGAAACATTTACTGGATCAACGACTAACTACGTCCCCGCACCAACATTGGCTCAGTAAATTGATGGGCTTTAACTTTCGAGTAGAATACAAACCGGAACGCTTCAACACTGTCGCGGATGCTTTGTCTCGACAACATGAAGAGGTTATGAACCTCGCAGCACTTACAATTCCTTTCAATACTCTCCTAAGTGAAATCCGGTCTGAACAAGCGGTTTCCCCGATTATGAATAGTATCCGTAAGGAAATCCGGGAGGGAAAGCGCGGGCCAAATTGGGAAATACGAGATGGCTTAATTTATTACCGCTTCAAACTCTATCTGTTAGATACATTAGAAGTGGTTCAAACTTTGCTCTCGGTATTTCATAACATGGCTCATGAAAGTGTTGAAAAAACTCTTCAATGACTACGACGGGAGTTTTATTGGACCGGCATGAAAACTACGATGGCCAACTTTGTTCGGGACTGCCAGACATGTCAGAAGCACAAGTGGTTAACATTGCAACCAGCTGGCTTATTGCAACCTCTTCCCATTCCGCATCACATTTGGGCAAATTTATCAATGGATTTTGTTGAAGGCTTACCCAAGGTTCGGAACAAATCTATCATCCTGGTTGTCGTTGACAGACTCTCTAAAGCTGCCCATTTTATTCCTTTAGCTCACCCATATACGGCAGTTTCCGTAGCCGGCATATTCTTTTCTGAAATATTTCGTCTTCATGGGCTACCGGAATCCATTGTCTCTGATCGTGACAAAATCTTTTTGAGCACTTTATGGCACGAGTTATTCCACCTATCTGGTACCAAACTCGCTTGGATTGAGTATTGTTACAATACGTCCTACCATTCATCTCTGGGCGACACACCATTTCGCATGGTTTATGGCAGGGAACCACCCCGTATGCTATCCTATATGTCTAGGACATCCAAGGTGGATGGGGTGGATCGGTAGCTCATTGATCGTGACGATCTTCTCAAACGTGCTCGTGACAGATTAGCTCATGCACAACAGCGGATGAAAAGTCAATTTGACAAAGGCCACCGTGAGCTCTAGTTTGAACCAGGTGCTTGGGTCTGGCTCCGTTTGCAACCATATCGCCAGCTAACAATGAGCGGGGGAAATTCCAAACTGTTGCAAAAATATTTTGGTCCATTTCAGGTTCTTGAGCGCATTGGCCAAACTGCTTACAAGCTCCAATTGCCAGCAACGGCTCGTATTCATAATGTTTTCCATGTCTCCCTTCTCAAGCTACACCAAGGACCTCCTCCAGAAGCAATGGGCAGTCTTCCTCCCGAACCTTACACTCTGGGAACCACAACTCACCAGGCAATTCTTCGCAGCCGCTTCTTGAATGGCAGCTGGGAGCTTTTAGTTCAGTGGCAGGGGCAGCAAGTAGATGAGGCCACATGGCAACCACTAGATTCCTTCCAAAAGAGATATCCTGCTTTCAAGCTTGAGGACAAGCTCTTTGTCCAAGGGGGGAGTGATGTTACGGACCAATATTATGGTCGTACATATGAACGCAGAAAACGGTGTGGGCAGAGAAGATTAATGACCAACGTGGCTAAGAGAAAAGAAATAAGAAGGCAGTTAGAGTCATATTAGTATTAGTATTTAATTAGTCCTACTTTAATTAGTATTCATTTATTTGAGTTGTATTAGAATAGCAACTTAGTTTCCTATTTGTTTTAGGAAACCCTTTTGCAACTTAGTTTCCTATTTGTTTTAGGAAACCCTTTATCTATTTAAGGGGATCCCAGCTACTTTAATAAACAGCTTTTTGGTTAATTAATCTTGAGATCTCTTGACTAGGTCGGAGATCGATAATTATCTATTAAGCCTCTATTTTCAGTTCATCTATTCCTCGTCAATTAAAAGTAGCTTCCAGAACATCATCCCCCCTTACCTGTGGTCAATCCCATTCACGTCCTTGGACGAGGTCTCTAACTCACACACTTGACACAGGATTCTTTGGAAGAAACTTTTTATTATAAAAGCATTTTAGTCGCAATAGAAAATGACAGTCGTGGAAAACTTTTCATTTAGTTGGAGACCTGAATAAGAGAGTATGACATGAAGTATTTTAAGATGACATACACTAAATTAACACATTTACTATTACTGATTTGTTATAGTCCAAAGCATCCAGTATTCACTAAAGACTTTGGCCCGCACTCAACATGATTTCTAGATACACCACCTTGTGCCTAGGGCTGAGGTGGAGCTAGGTGGGAAACTTAGAACACTACCTCAGGTTAAAAAGCCAAAAAATTGTTTAGTATTGTATAGACAGGTAGCTTATATTAGGCACAAGATGAATTTGATCTATGACCTGGCAAAGATGTAGGAGATGCTAAGCCTTCCTTGAAATCACAAAACTAATCTTTAAGATATCGCTATCTCTGTCCCATGCAAGAAAGACTGGCTAACTTTAACTTCAGCTGCATGTGACAGTGGACTGGGGAGGGGGGAGCACATAGCCCATTTAAAATCAATAGGACAGATGTTTTGGTAATTCTCTGCAAAAGACGGACAGATAAATGCCATTGTATAATGGGAAAGGGAACATTCCGAATGGGGGAACTGATTTGATTCTTATCTAATACGTAGTGTCTATAATGATGAGAATGACCTTCTCTCTTATGGTGACACAGAGGGAATAAAGATCCTTTGTATAAAATATCCACAATTCAATGATATCCACTATGGCTTGCTCTAAATCTTGGGATGACCGTCATAATTTGAAGGGTTTTCCAGAAAACTCTACAAACGTAGATTACTAATATCACATGTTTCTAGAGAGCTTTTTCCCTTTTTGGATAAGTTAGCATACCATAAATGCAATTGGACTAGATGATGCTACAAATATTCATGACCAAACCAATTGAATAAATCATAAAGAACTGTTTTAAGAATTTGATTCTCATAGTATTTTAACTATTATCAAGCAAATGCACATTTATGAATAAACCATACAATGAGCAATTATAAACAAGATGAAATAGGATGAAAATGTAAATAAAAAAATAGAAGGGTAAAGAGCATCTATATATGGATTACCTGAATTATGCCTTTGATTCTCCAAACCCCATGACAGTAGAACACAATAGGTGAATCACCAGGATGGAGTTCTTCAACCTCCTTCCGCACCTTCTCAGAAGATACGTTATGGTCTGTAGACAACCGTTCCGCTACAACAGATTTCCTCTCCCCATCCACACCTCTCCTTCCCAGAACTGCTCTTGAGTCCCCTAAATTAGCCACATACAATTGACCATCAGAAATTGCACCCACAAGGCAGCAAGATCCAACTGAAGCAATCTGTGGCATTACTGGCAGAGATGTCTTGACTAATCCTATGAAATCCTCTTCTGTCGCATGAAAAGCCTTTCTAATGACATCCGTTGATAACCCCCCTTGCTCTCTGGCAAATTCTGACCAAAACAGAATACACGAATAAGAAGATATAACAGACCAACAATCATTCCAGACTTACAAGTTGAGAACAATCAAATTCTCCCATCTTAATACACGAAATTTCAAAGCCTTGGATGAAGTCGAAACATTGAGCTTAAACTAACAAGGAGAAAACACGATATCAAAAGCTGGAAGCACCATAATATCCAAGAGCTATCGAGCTACTAGCTCACCGATGCACGTGTAATTACACACAGATATATATTGGGGAGAAAAGACAAATCAGAGTCATTTACTCACGTTGCATATAAGTAAAGAGATGGCGATTGACGAATCGGGAGGCTTCAGGGCCGCCGTGGCCGTCGTAGACGCCGACGTAAGTAGCGGATGGCGAAGTGAGAACTTGACTCTGGTCCTCAAGGGACGAATTAGCCTGAACAACGGCAATTGAAAAGTCTCCGGAGGCGTGAGGCTTCAAGTCCAGGTGCCACAAAAGTCCATCGCCGTTCCGCCGGCCAAAACACCTCTCCAATTGGTTGAAACACGATCGCATCATGGTGCTCACCGTTCCTAACTCCTTAGATTTGAGAAAAAACCGGCGACGATTTGAAATAAATATGGTGATGATGTTGACAGATACTGATACCTAGGATATGGAATGTTTTGTTGTTGTTTTACCTGATAATTACATGAATTTAGGACATGTATAGTTTTGTATGCATATATTGCAGAGGATTATGAATGGAAATACAGCTACCTGGGTATGGAAATTGAGGGTGGAGAAGATGATTATGAAAGGGGTTTTGGTTTGGGGGTAGACGAAAGAGTCTGGGAAACCCCGCGTTACGGCGTTGGAAAATGGAATTCAGAAACGCCGTGATCAATCACCTATCTTTACATTTCTACGCGTTTTTGCTATTATGACATACAATGTAAGCGGCAAGTGCACTGGTCAGCTTTCATATTGTTTTAGGGTTTGATTGGTTAGGACTTATTTCTGCATAAATCTCTATCTTCTAGATTTTGTATTATTCAAAAAGTCTTTAAAAACTTCTAGTTATATGTTTGACATGACAATTTTTAAGAGTTTTTCAAAAATTAAAAGATCTTTTTTGAGATGATATAGGGAGTAGCATCTGAAAAAAGCATGTGACTTTTAGTATTAATTAGTCCTAACCGTTTGTATACCAAAACGAACTAAATCAAACAGTCAGTTTTTTACCAAACAGCTACCACATTTTCTCTTTAAGATCTTTTCAGTCACTAAAAGCTAACAGCTATTAAAAAGCTCACAAAAGTATCTTTTCAGCTAGTTGTGCCAAACATACCCTTAGTTGTTTTGGAAGAGAAGTACGATTTTTGTTGTATTGGGATCCTTTTGATTGATTAGAATTTTTTGTGATCCAATCTGGTTTAATCTGGTGTATATTTTATAACTATTGAAATTTGTTAAAGTCTAGTCTAGTATGATTGTTTAAGACTAGTATAATAGGATCTCATGATGATATGGATATTGAAATAAGTTCAAGCACACATAGTTTTGTAAGAGAAAGTAGTGCTTACTTTCATTATCAGAAAATGGTCAAAATGGTGCAGGAAGTTGTTTCGACGGGAGTAAGTAATACTTCATCTTGTATTTGAAACTTTAAAGTACATGAACATGTATTTTTATAGTCAATCAAATACATTTGCTCTGTCAGAACGTTAAAATACCTGACATGGCCAAACTATTTGTTTGTATTATACATTTGCAGTCGAAGTCATCAAATAATTAATCTATAAATTCTATTTTCCTCCATTCCACTCGTTTTCACCTTCGCTCTTCATCTTATACTTTTCTCGTTTGCCCTCCCTGTTATCCTGTCAGCTTCTTCTTTTTGCTCTATTTTATTTTCTTCTTCTCTTGCTATAATAAAGATGGAGAATGAGAATGAGAGCAGCACGAGCGGAGCTAGAAGGGGGGCGATCTAGGCCCTGACCCACTTCAAATTAAAAAATGCTTTAATTTTAAATAAAAATTTTGTGTAATTTTTTTCCCAAAAATATTCTTTGTACTGCTCCAGTCCAGCTCAGTGTCCTGCCTCTACCCTTGAAGATTAGACGAGAGAAATATAAGATGAAGAGCGAGAGAAGGGAGAGCAAATGTGACAAATATAAAATGAAGAGCGAAATGGAAAATAGGTGAACTGGAGGAAATTAGAGTTTATAGATTAAATATTCAATGGCTTGAACTGCAACGATATGTTACACACTAATAGTTTGGTCACATCAGCTTTTGTAATGTGTTAATAGAGCAAATGTACTTAGTCGAATTTAAAAATGTAATCTCATGTAATTTCTAGTTTCAAGTGTAAGATGGAGTACTACTTACTCCACTTGAAACAACTTCATGTACCATTTTGATCATTTTCTTCTTTCATTATTATCAAGTGTCCAATGAATATGGAATTACGGAATGATTAGATTTACACAGAGGAGAAAATAGGCCGACAATGTGTAGTAATTATTGTTTACCTCGAATGATCTGTAGCGCATATAGTAATTTCAATTTACCTAGTATAGTGTATAATATGTACCATATATCAATGATCCCATTTGAATTGGAGGGAAGATAGCTTTAAACGAAGGAAAACTGAGGGAAAAAGTGGTTGATCAACGCGAACTTCAGGGCCGGTCCTCATAAAATATGGGTCATGTGTAACAATAAAAATTAGGCCTTTTATTTAAACGTAAAAATTTACAAAATAGTTCGTAATATATTGTACACTATGTTAGTAATAAATTCTTAATGTTTTATATCAAATTTCAAGTTATTATTAATTAACAATATAGTCAAAATAAGAATATTCATTTAGAAAGTACCCTTCATTTAAAAGAGATCTTTGAACGTATTTTCAATGTGTTATAAGTACAAACTTTTTAAAAGGCGCAATGCGTGTCATGGCGACATGACTAATTTAAAGCCTTTGAAGCCTAGGCAAATTTACTTAGGTAGGGTCAGGCGTGAAAAGATGTTTTAATTTTTATACTTTGTTTTAATTTTTGTACAGACATTTTAAAAATTGCTACTATTATTATGTCACGATCACTTAATTCTAAAAGATGAATATTAGTTAGTGTGATTAAATTTACTATTAGAATAGTCACTACGTTTAAAAACTCACAATTTTATAAATATTGTTTATTTTAATCATAACTTTGTAATTATTTCTAATGAAAATAATAATACTTACGGAGTATTTGTCATTTTTGTTATAATTTTATAATACTTCGTATGGATCAAACATCTTGGGCCTTGCTCATGATGGGAAGCCTGGCGTGCAAATCCCAAGAAATACACTCAGTAGCATAAGGTTGTTTTTGTGTCTTCTCTGATCTCCTAAATCCTAATTAGTTTCCCACACCGATCATGAAAAAGAACTATGTAGCCTATTGTTTTATAAAAAAGACTTCTCCCATTCGGTCATTCATATGGGTGATTTGTACGTTTAGTGTCTTCCAAAGAGGTGAAAGGTCGATCCGAATTGTAAGCCTGGTTTATTGGGCCGCATTTAAAATAACTTCATATAACTATATTAAGAAAAACTATTTTTTGGGGTCTTAATTGGTTTTGGGCGTGCGCGTCTGTATCTGTGTGCGCGAGTGGGTGTGTGAGTGTGTGTAGGGTTGAGTTCAAATGAGAAGACATTTTAACGTGTAAAATAAGAATTAATCTTGGTCGTTCAAAAATTCAACCGGATACACAATAAACCTTATGTGATGCACTTTTTGAATAAACCTATCTGATGCACTTTACGAAATTGCATCAGATAAAGTTTATTCGAAAGTGCATTAGATAAGGATTATTGTGCAATAGATTGACAATTTGGACGGCCGAGATTAATTCTTATTTTACACATTAAGAACTTTTTTATTTCATCCAAATTATTATATATATATATATATATATATATATATATATATATATATATATATATATATATGGAAGCTAAGAGTTCAAATGAAAAGTGGTCTTTTCGTGCAAATTGCAAAGTTTTCACTTTTTCATGTTTCGCTTGCACTTTTTGTTGTTTGCGTTGCACTTTTTGGTCATTTTGATATTGGCCAAATTCGGCCAAAATGACAGTGGCAGTTTTGTAAATGAACCAATTTTTTGAGGTACCGCGAAAAAGTGCAACGAAAGCAAGAAAAAATGCAAGCGAAACATAAAAAAGTTCAAACTTTGCACTTTGCACGTTAAGACCACTTTTTATTTGAACCATCCCCTATATATATATATATATATATATATATACACACACACACACACATGTTCAGGTCCGGAATTCCGGACCAGAACGGCCGTCCGGACGGCGGCGTTTGGCCGCCTTCCTGGTGGAATTTTTGATGACATTTTTATGGCATGTTCTTCATCAAGTCTAGTTTGTCCACAAAAATATTCAGCTAAAAACTCAATCGGGACGGTCGTAAAATCATTTTTGAAAGTTAACTGCGTTTTATATGAATTTTCCGGCACAGTTATCTTTAAAAAAACATTTGACGGCCTTCCCGATTGAATTTTTAGCTCAATTTTTTGTGGATAAACTAGACTTGATGAAGAACATGCCATAAAGATTTTATCAAAAAAATCCACCGGGAAGGCAGCCAAACGTGGCCGTCCGGACAGCGCTTCCGGTCAGGAATTCCTGACCAGAACACTACTATATATATTGTTAGTACCCAATTTTGATAGATTTTGATGATGCCACTATACTTTGCACATGTACATTGTGTCTTATTTAATTCAAGTATTTGTGTACCTAAATTCGAGTATTGGTACTTGATCATAGGTGACAAAATAAATGTACAATTTTTCAGACTAATAAAATATTACCGGAAAAATCAAAATGCAATAAGGTAATTTTTTTACCTTAATAGGATATTTAGATCCTACCGGCATGTATTTAATTAAGTCTCAAAGGTTGAAAAAAAATGTCACAAATAAAGGTCACGTATGTACATAAGTTACATACATTGCATATATAATTGAAGACAAGAAGTGACGAGCAAATTAAATGCTTGGAAAAAGTACAGGGACCCGAAGCATGGGATACTCAGTCTAGGTCTGCAGCGGCTAGCAAAAACAAAATCGGCTCTAGAGAAAGAAGATAAACAACAACATGTTATCTTCTAGAAACAAGGATTCAACGACCAAGATTAAGTCATCTCAACCAACGAATGAGATTAATCTACCGGAGATGCCTATAAACAAAGGCCGAAGCATGAGTTCGAAAATAAGCTTTGAACCATGAGTTCGAAAGTGCTACTTTAAACTTTACTCTCTGCTTAGACTCATGCTTCACTAAACTTCCATGTTTCTACTTGTCATTGCCTTATTTTGGAAGTTTAGTTAATAGTTCCATGTTTCACTAAGCTTTGATTTACTTTCATTCAACAAAGCACACACCCAACACTTCTCACAAAGGGATCGTAGTTTGCCAGCAGCATCCTAAGCAGTAGTCTCAATTGACTTTACTGCTTATCCTACTGCTTAATAACTTACTTTTCTTGAGACAACTGTTTCACAAGAGCCTTGGAACATCACTACTAAAAGGTCCGCTTTGCCAGTTCTCAGAAATACATCTTTCAAACGCAACAAGTACCTTAACAGTTTCCTGGTACTACCCAACTGCTTAGACCTCTGCTTAAGCAAAACTCCCTTTTCAACTTAGCTCAGTGTCTCTTCATAAAGCTCTCATCATTCGGTATAAGGCCACATAATCATCTTTCCCAAACTCCTATTTTCCACTAGGAGTTGCCTCAGCAGTTCCCTGCCATTCAGGCAACTGCCAAGCCAACTGCTCACTATTTAAGTCCAAGCATCACCCAAGCTAGAAAGTTGTCACATACTAATCATCTAGAGGTTAAAGACTTCCGTTGTGCATCTATAAATCTCCCAAAAGATTATAGGTCAAC